TCACAGCACGAACGCCACTGAGGTCGGCTCCTAGCCATCACAACAAGTGTATCCAGCCAAACGTGTCCATCGCCTTTAGGACCCCAACCAGGGAGCCGAAACACTCCAACCGAGGCGAGCTTCGAAGTGAGGGACTTCATTCCTCTGGACCAAGTCATCGCTTGGCCACCTCTCCTCTTCTTCCATCTACACCCCCGACGCGCAAACAACGTACATCGCAGGAGTCGGTGAACTGACATGCGTAACACTTGGCCGAGCCATCGGAGCCTGGTGCGTGAAATAACTGTGCTGAGCGCTTCATTTCCTCTTCCTGTGCCGTAAACAAAACGTCGAACACGCTCGTTGCTCACGCGGTGTTCCCACCAGATGTGAGCTAAATTGCGAAGGTACAGGTGGTCGAAAGTAACGATCCTCTTCATGCCCGCCGATCTTAGGGGCCAGGTTTCGCAACCTACAATAGGGTCGAACATACTGCTGCATTGTACACTCTACCCTTCAGGGCGAGAGTGATATCGTGCCGGCACCATAAGTGGCGAAGGTTAGCAAAAGCGCCTCAAGCTTTTGCTATACGATTCGTGATCTAATCTTCAATCCCATGAACGCTGATACAACTTCCCACGTAGTTGAATTTTTGAAAGACTTCTAGCTGATCATCAACAAGGGTCAGCACAAGAGGCGATCCATACCAATCTTTGAAGAAAGCTTTGCACTTCGATGGTGCAAAGCAAAACCCGAAGTGGCGGACAGCTAGTGCTAATCTGTCCAGTGCCTCTTGGCACGTCTGACAGCTGAGAAAGATTAGGACAATATCGCAAGCATACTCAAAGTCAAGAAGTCGTTCTCTTTGGAGCAGATCCAAACCTTCTAAGTCGTGTCCTGTAAATGCAATCTCCATGACCGTCAATAGCGAAGTTGAAGAGGAAAGGTGACAACGAGCATCCTTGTCTCACATCGCTGGAGATAATAAAAGGGCGACGACAGCTTGCCGTAAGCTCTCACTCTGCCAGTGCTACGCGCGTATAATGCCCGGATAATATTTACATATTTCTCAGGTACTTTTTTGTGTAGACAGTCCCAAAGTGCATGTCTATCCACCGAATCGAATGCACCTTTGATATCGAGGAACACGGCAACGGTGGGCCGCCAATATATGTGATGGCGCTCCAACAACTGACGCAAAGTGAAGAGGTGGTAAATGCAGCCACGACCTCGACGAAATCCAGCTTGCTCTTCACGAATATGGCTTCCACGAGTGCCAGTCAGTCTGTGAAGGCAAGCACTTTGGAGACGATGGAGATCAGACTGATTCCTCTATGGCTGCCGCATTCCGATCGTGAGCCTCCCTTGAAAATTGGGACTATGACGGAGCGGCTCCAATCGGTTGGGACAGTTTCCTGCTCCCACAGTTTGACTAGTAACTCGTGTAAATCATCCAATAGAGCAGGTCCCCCGAATTTGAAGAGAGCTGGAGGAAGATCATCAGGTCCCGCGGCTCTATTTAACTTCAACAGTTCGATCTCATGTTCGACTTCTGAGCGAGAGGGTGGATCCAAAGGGACAGCCAAGGGAGCGGGGCGATCAGTGGCCGACGAGAAAGCTAACAATTCTGACCGATTAAATTGCCTTTCAAAGTGCTCAGTCCAACGCTTCAAGCGTTTTGACAAGTTGTGGATAGGCTGTCCACTCTCGTCACGTATAGTTTCATTAACACTAGGTCTCCTGCCGCCCCTGTATCAGCCGGAATAACTTACGATGCTTCCGATGGGAGTGGCCATTTCCATCTCTGTTGCACGATGAGACCACCAGGATTCGCGGTCTCTCTTCAGGCTAGCACAGAGTTTTGCCTGGAGCTCTGTGCGAGTTTAATTGCGTTCGCTTACAACCGGAATATGCCGGTGAGCGTCGATAAGTTCTAGTGACCGCGAAGAGACCCAATATCCATGTTAGCGATTAGAGTAACCACATGGGGATTTGCCCGATGCTAGTAAGGTCTGGTGAATATGAGACCAGTGAGTTTCAACTGCATCCAGTGAGCGCTTACTCAACTCGCAAGACAGCGTAGTTTGATAAGCATTCCGAACAGCTGGCTTCGACAGCTGAATAGTGTTAATGCGGTCAGAACGTCGTCGTGGGCGTCCGCCAAAGCGCATCCGCAGGTCAGCACATACAAGTGCATGGTCGGTGTCCACACATGTGCTCCAAATCGAGCGACAGTTCTGGATGCATCCTCTCCAGCGGTAACTTAGCGCAACGTGATCGATTTGCGTGCATAGCTGGTTCGAGGTTGGTGAGCGCTAAGTCACCCGCCGGCGGGTGCTGTGTCGGAAATTAGTGCTCGCAAGAAATAAGCGAGCATCCTCACACAAATGAAGTAACCGCTCATCGTTATCATTAAGGGAGCCTACCCCATGTTGACCGTCCAGATGCAGCTCATCTGTGGATAATTTTCCAACTTGAGCGTTCAGATCCCCAGCCAGCACTACAGTATCCGATCTCCTTCTGCGGCGAAGGAGATGGTTCATTCGACGATAGAAGTCGTGTTTTACCAAGTTATCGCTACAGTTTATCGGTGCATAGGAAGCGATAACGAATAGACACCTGTTAGTCCCACGCGACTTCGAAGCTTTGAACGAACCAGCCAATCGGACCGCACACATCCGGCTACTGATTGGAATCCAATCAACCAGAGCAGCTTCAGTCCGGGGACTCAGGGTAATACCAGCACCGGCTTGGCCAGTGCTCTAAGCTGCATCGTCACCGGATAGGCGCAATGAGAAAGTGCTGCTAGTGTCACCTGAATGGGATCGCAGAGTGAGCCCAGAGCTGAAGTCTTACAGGCGGGTCTCCGATAAGCAGCAGATGTCGATCGAGAGGGTCTCTAATGTTCGGGCAAGTGCTGCTTGTTGACAAAGCTGAAGCAATGTGCGTACATTGAGGCATGCCAATCTGAAGGAGGATCGAGGGCTCCAAATGGAAGCCGATGAACTGGAATGGACCGCTTGTTTGGACATGGGCCTGTTGACAGGGCAGGAATGACGCTCCGCGTTTGCATGTGAGTTGAAACAAGAAGACAAACGACTATTGAAGCAAGGTGGGGGAGGGCCGAGAATTGGGGGGTTGAAAACAGGGGGGAAAGGTGAAGCTGGAACGGAACGATAAGGGTGAAAAAGCGTAAGAGGGGGAATAAGAAGACGGGGAGGCTTGAGCAGCAGCATCCAAACCCTTATCCACCCCGCTCGATGCAGCAGATAGGGCACCGTTTAATATCCTCTGCGATGGTCAGAGTATCAGGAAATTGTTTGAGGAAAAATTCATAGGTTTGCGTGGGCAGGATACTGTCAGGTTGCCAAGGCCTAGACAGGAGAACGATTAGGGTTCTCAACCAAAGCCTTTGGTTCAAAAACCTTACCGAAAGGCAGCGGGTTTGGCGATGGGGTACAAGGAGTCCGTTTTAAGGAATAATGAGCTATCCTCATCCAACACCCAGACTGGAGGACCAGGAGGCTGAGTTTGTCTGGCCTCTAACCAATGAGCAATCTGAAGGTGCAAAAATGCACCACCCAGTATAGCTCAATGGATCATTGAGGCACACAAACCATCGCACCACGGTAAAGTCCAGCCTCATTGCGATGGAAGATTACGAGACAAGCTCGCTATCTCTAAGCTACGGGATGAAATGGATAAAATTCGGGTGTTGCTTGCGACTAAACAAAATATTGGCAAAAAATGAAATTGCCTATCGCAAAGTGGATATTCCGAAAGCCCAACAGTGAAATCCCGTGAAAGCTCAATGGTCCAGCGGAGAAGGCGTTAGTATGCAATCACCGTGTTCCACAATCTAGTTCCAGCTCCGCCAGCTCTATCTGAAACATTCGAGCGATAACAGAACAAGTCAAAGAGTTGCGATAGGAGTGAATGACAATCAAAGTCTAGCCACTGATACCGATCCCAAAGGACTACGTACAACAGTCCACTCACACTGAGTTACAAGTTTGATGGGATTATGCTACTGACAATGCATGAGTAGTTAAATACAATCCGTAGTTTCTTGGTAGGTTACAAATACGGTATCGGGTCCTTGTTCAGCCCAGACATAAAATTCTTTCGAGGAAGAACGACGAAATGAAAAAGATTGATTTGCATAAGTATGCTCCTTAGATTTCCCGTTTAATTAACGTTAAATTACGATTGAGGCAATGCTAAATGCCCTTATATACCGTGTGGCATCCACCGAACCCTCGCATTTGGTACCGGAAACCACTGCCGCTAAAACTCGCGATTCAGACCAACTATTCGCGAACCTATTGTATGCGTTTGATCATAACTATAATTGTGGGACCCTGGTTTATTAGCACAAAGGGTTCTACCCACTGTCCGAAATTTCCGCTGACCAGACCGTGTATTAGTTAGTTGACTTGACTAGCCTTTCGCGTACTCCGCTGTAAAACATACTCATCAGAGGTAATCCAAAACTTAACCGTTGTGACAGATCATATCATGTATAGACATGGGTGACATTCAGTAAGCTGTACACCATGGGTACGGCTCGCAATTCAAGTAAGTTTGATTAATAAGTACAAAAGAGAACGAAACCAACTCAGTGATAGAAGCGAGCAACAACTGCGATTTATCCATAGGGAACGTCTGAAGCAGATAAGTTTAAGTGGTCGCAATTAGTGGAATTTGTTTAAGAAGCAAGTGGGTGATAACACTTAACTCGTTTAACCAACCTATGTGTATTTGACGCAACCGACGTTCCGGCTAAAGTTGTTCAGAGCTAAGCTGCTATTCAGTGAAACATGTCAGTGGTCATCACTTTGTATTACAGGTGGATACCACAGAACCACACAACCTAGGGCGCACTGAGCGTAGTATGGAGGGCTACCCAGGGCGTTTACTGGCTGTAGACACAAGGAAAGTAGGCATTACTTCGCACAGTGAACACGTTGGTATAGGAAAGTCGTAGACAGCTTCGTGATAAAGACACAAGAGAATCTCACATCTTCCAACTGTGTGGATGCGGGGCATGCATGCCTTTTGCTTGTGCAAAGAAGATCAGGAAATCGGGAACGACAGATGGTTTCCAAAACGATCACAGTGCCGAGAAGACTCAGCGCTTTAGCAGTAGAACACGAGGAGGAGAGTTTTGCGCGAATAAAGCCAAGGAGTTTTTCCTGTACTGGCTTGTGTTCACGAGAGCTGACGAGGAAACAGGAACAAATCTTGAAGACAAGGGCAATAACAAATAAGCGCAAAGATATAGGAGTGTTGCAGATAATAAACAGAAGTGACGCAAGATTAGAGATGCAACGCGTATATCGAAAACAGGATTAGACAGTCGGGTAGATCGAAGGCTGTGAACGTTGTGAACCTATGTTCATCACCATCAAGATTTACAGCAGTACATCAGCCAATGGAACTGATGCTTTTCTGCAGTACAACTACGGTGACCTACGGGACGAAAAACAATCAGAGAGAAAGAAAGTGGACTTGGCGTAAAACCATAATGCCTGAAAATAAACACTCAGGGTCAAGGCGCCTAAACCTTGTCAACAAAATGCCGTCACAAACAGCTAGCCATCGTGCAAAGACAAAGCGGCATCAGCAAGACAGCTTCACTACCCGGCGTCATAATCAGCCATTACCCCGTAGATAACTCAGCACCAATCATACTTTATACAGGCAGTCCAACTAAGAAACGACAGCATATACGCCACCGGTGTCGACTGCGAGACATGCCCTGTAATGTCTCAAGCCAAGTATAACACGGGTCACGTGGACTCCAGCCTGGGAAGCTAGATGTATCAACAGCATTGTTTTGTAGTCAGTGACTTAATTTCTCGCTGTCCACCTGGAGCCTTGCACCATACTACATCTGGCACACAAAACAACGTCCACCTCGGAAAGCAGTGACCAGGCATATGTAGTACGTGCCCAAGTCAACGTAACTTATCCAGTGCTAACTGTTCTTCTAAGGAACAAGCATGATTATCACTACGTACAACCGAGGCTTCGATTGAGATTGCATGTCGTAATCCAGGACACACGGCGAGTGATTCAAAACCCGAAAAACAAATAACCTAGCATCCGCTTAAGCACATCATCGTTGTGGACACGCTGGTGCCACCCGACACCAGCGATGCCTCGCAGACAGGGATGACCAAAGACTTGAAGGCGCAGCAGGTCCTCAGATCGGAGGATTCAAGTCTCACTCCCATAGAGTAGGACGGCCCTCACTGTCGTCTTGAAAACACAACCTTTTAGATCGATAGAAACACTTATTTGACGCTACAGATGCAAAAATGCAATTCTAGGTTTTGTGATGCGTGAAATATATTCAGTCGTTATGCGCCCATGGTTGCCGATGCAGCTGCCTAGGTAATGGAATTGGTCAACTACCTCGAATTCCTCGCCATCAGGTGGCTAGTGGTCCTGTAACAACAGAGAACTATGATGGTGCGAAGCGTAAGTCAAATGACGGGGTCACCCTAGCGAGGTTATTTAGGGTTGATTGGGTCGACCCAACATAGTTAAAATGCAGGACAATATCGTCCGCATAACTAAGATCAACTACTTTCTCAACAGGTGTGACTTCAACGTCTGCATCATGAGACTCCGCAAGAGTACACTCTTGACGGAGCCCACGATAAAAATGAACAAAAATGAAGAAGCAGAAGACGGCTAGGCGAACAAGTTTGTTTGCGGTGGTTTGCATCAGACGAGATAGGAAGAGAACTAACACGGGGAATTTAAATGCAATGAAGCGAACTGTACGGTGAATAAAAGTAAGTGACGGTACTGGCTAGGGCAAATTTAATGAAAGGGTTAAACGCGTGGTCGTTACACGGGGTGGCTTGCGACCATGGTAAATGAAGAGCATGTACAAACTTATTTTAGCACATAAGTTCTGGTTATGGAGCCGAATAGCGATCGCGTCCGATGTCGCTAATAGGCGATATCGGAGGGCTCGCGTGTGGCGTACAGATACCCGCTAGATAAGCTGGAAGGCCTCTCGTACGTTGATTCGTTGATATGAGTCGGATAAGTGCCACAACACCGCGCTCGCTACCGTCTTCCTCAAACCAGTGTAAAGCTACGCCGGGCAATGTTCGCGGACCCACTCAGACAGTCACCTGGTCGTCTTTCCAATAAAACTTGCTCGACATGAACAAGAAGATGTGTAACACGCAGAAGGAAATATTGAAACTTGGTATCCTATCCGTGAGTTGTTGACTTACATAAGCTGAGGATGTGTGGTGGTGGTGGTGGCGCACTGCACCAGTGGACCAGTGACTTCCTTATTGGGAGAAGATGGCAGGTTCAAGTTGATGGTCACCTAACGGAATGGTATCCGTCCACTAGCGGCGTACGTTAAGGCACAATATTGGGACCCATTTTGTTCCTGATCCACAACAACGAAGTACCTCAGCTTCTCCGGTCTCCCAGCGCATTAGTTGCAGACGACCTGAAGATTTGGAGGATTATTGATTCGCCCGACGACTGTGAGGTGCTTCGGCAGGAAGTGGACCGCCTATCCTGATTGACCTACTAGTCAACCCAGTAAAATCCTCGTGTATGAGCCTGGGGAGGGGTGGTAATAGGCGTGCGTACACCCGGCCACCCGCTGCATCCCACCAGTTCCGTAAAGGATCTAGGCGTACTTTCACGCTGTGATCTGATGTCGATAAGAGGAAGACTGTACGCAGATGGATTACTCCTGCTTTGGGCACTTAGACGCAGCTACTGCACTTGGTCTGAAGTGATTGACACCCGTCTGTTCTCTTCCATGATAAGACCGATGCTTGAGTACAACTCACGCGTCTATTGTCCGATCACAACAGGTGAGGTGCATAGACTGGTACGGGTCCAGCATGTAGCTACCAGGCTCATCCCGAGTTTATGGAGTGTCGTACGAGGACCGATGTATGAGACTAGGGCTGTATACCCTGATTTCATAATGACGCACCGGATATTGCACCTGGGCCATTTCCCTATGTTGAGGCCGTTGCTGAACATTCGCGCACCAAAACAGCACATGCTAACACCGGTACAAACTAATCATACCGGATCTAAAGCGTATTGCTCATCCTCTATGGTTCGAGCGTCAAGTGGTGAAATATTGGAAATACTGGACCTATGATACGCGTGGCGCTGCTCTATCATCTGCCGCAGAGTGGATATACGGTCTATACAGCCCCGTCCTGTGCGGAAACGTGTTTGCTACTGCTTAGTCCCGGGCTCTCGCTCCGTAGTGAGGCGACGAACGAGAATTGAAGCCAGTAATTTTGTAAAACTGGCGTTAGGCTAATACCCCTGTGGTTAGCACAGTCGGCGCTATAACCGATTCACTCCAGTTAAATGGAATGGCATCTGCATTCCAGGCCTGTTCAGAGAGAGGTCAGTGTTTTGTAGAGGACCTCACCTTCATCGTTAAACAGTGCGGGTGGGAGGGGATCTGGGCCAGCAGCACGAAAAGGATTAAGGGCTGTGATCGCGTTTCCGACCTCAATCTCTGAGCAAGCTTCTATATTAACCAGTCATGGTTCACCCAACATGACCTGAGTAGGAAGAGGTCTAGAAGTAGGGGAACAACTGAATGCTCTCGAAAGTGCTCATGCAACGAGCAAACGGGCGTTAAATACTGTGATTGTTTCGCTGATGCCTAGTTTTTGGGGCCAGTGGTGCGGATCAGTTGGAAGAACCTGCGATAATTATCTACGACTCATGCCTCCTCTACTTCTTGAGTGCTAAGAGACCGCCAGAGTTTTTGCACCAAACAGACTCCGCTTTAATTCGCACCTAATAGTCCGCCTAGTTACATTCTGCTCAGAGTCAGCTGGGAGCTTTCTTCTACATTCAAACAGGTTCACCAACCACTCGGATATCCAGTAACTGATGCGGCGATGACTGATATTGTCGCAGGCGGAGGCGGTGTCCGGGGTGCTAGGGAGGAGTAGCACCTATGGTAGGGGACCTGCCTTACCCTCCGGGGCAGTCCGCCTATCTTTGGTCTCCACCTGTCACCCAACTCTCACCTGTGGCTCCAAGAAGCTTGTTGCACGCGGCAGCGGCTACACCTCGATCAACCGTTAGGCAGGCGGGCTAAACCAGGTGCGGGTAGCCGGGAATACTATTCCCGGTGACTTTGTACTCGCGTGCGAGGTCAGTCCTGACAACTGGGAGGAAGAGATCGACCCTTGATCCAAGGGCCAGAAGTTAAGACAAGTTTCCAGATCCCTGCTGCCTCGCAGGTAGCACTTGGCTGTGCAAAAGCCAGAGGTGAACCCTCGAACAAAAGCCGGATGAGGTTGGGGTCCTCATACGTACCCATAATCCCCACGAAACTTCATGACCTGTGCGTTATCCGCGATGCTTCTCATGCTGAGGCGTTCCCGATAGGCGACGTGATCTGCGCTAACCCAGTGGCCAGAGTGACAAGTAAACTAGCTGAGTCCCTCAATCCCCGGAAGCCACTATTCATTGGATGCTGGAATGTCAGAACATTGTTGGATGTCGACAGCCAAGCGTTGACGATGCGCACACTACATGACTACCAGATCGACATAGCATGCCTAGCAAAATCTCGACTACCCGGCTATGGCTCTCGACCAATCAAAGTCCCTGGTGCAGACGCCTCATATTGGTTTTACCACAGTGGATCGGAAGATAATTCTGGCAATCATGGGGTCGCCATGGCTTTTAGTTGCCAGGTCCACTACACTCTCCTTTCATGGAAGCCAGCATCAGCTAGAATAGCAGTTGCATGCTTCAAAGATCACCCAATGAATCTGACCATAATCTCTATGCATCAACCCAACCCTCAGCGGAAAGTGACAAAGACAAATTTTACGATACTCCACAGATAGTGGTGAACTATGTTCCAAAACGTGACATCCTCATTATGTATGGGGACTGGAATGCACGAACCGGTCCTAGGAACGACCAAACCCGTCGCATACTCGGGAGATACGCCCTGTGAGAGCGCTGGGATGATGGAGACCGCTTGTTCAGCTTCGCTTACCTTAACCGGTTGTGTGTAACCAATACTCGCTTCCAACATCCCAGGAAGCATCTTCTGACGTGGTACTCCAACGATGGTCATACAGCAAGTTAGACAGATTACATCTTAATCCGATCCAAGTGGATGTCCTCCATTGATGACTGTCGAGCGTACAGAGGGGCTGAAACAGGCAATAAAG